ACTTGAGAAAGGCTACATCCAATATAGTATTAGCCCCTGTGCTATACCTGCCCTTCTAACCTTAAAGAAAGATGGTTCTTAGAGGATGTGTGTAAATAGCCAAGCTATTGATAAGATAACTATCAAGTATCAATTTCTAATCCCTAGGCTTGATGACATTCTGGGCTTAAATTTTTAGGTCTACTTGGTTTTCCAAAATTGATTTTTGAAGTAGGTATCATCAAATTCGAATTAGGCCTGGGGTTGAGTAGAAAACCGCATTCAAGAACCAAAATGAATTATGAATGATTGGTTATGCCTTTTCGTTTAACAAATGCTCGTAGTACCTTTATGAGATTCATGACCTATATCCTTCAACCCTACTTGAGAAAATTCTTAGTTGTGTACTTCAATGACATATTAATATTTAGCAAATCTAGGGATGAATACTTGGTCCACCTCCAGCAGGTCTTCCTTATTTTTTGTGAGGAATAATTCTATCTAGGGATGAATACTTGGTCCACCTCCAACAGGTCTTCCTTATTCTTCATAAGGAACAATTCTATGTTAACCTTCTTAAATTTTCCTTCTTGTAAAACTAAGTCACTTTTCTTAGATTTATTTTTTCCAAACATTGCCTATCCGCTGCTTTAGAAAAGGTCAAGGCCATTCAAGAATGGTTTGAACTGAGGACCTTACATGAAATACGAAGCTTTTATGGCTTAACATCCTTCTACAGATGCTTTATACAACACTTTAGTACCACAATGACATCCATGACTAATTTCCTAAAGAAAAAGATATTTAGTTGGACTCTTGCAGCATCAAAGGCTTTCCAAACCATTAAAGAAAAGTTGTGTGCCTCTGTTCTCATACTACTTGATTTTCACAACTGCTTTGAGGTTACATGTGATGCCTCAAGTATAGGAATTAGAGGCATCGTTAGCTTGGAAGGCCACTCTATGGCTTCTTTAGTGAAAAACTCAATGAGACAAAGTAAAGATACTTAATGTATGACAAGGAATTCTGTGTCATTATCTCCTCACTAGAGCATTAGAAGTACTATTTCTTACCTCTATAATTGGTTCTGTATTCAGACTACCTAGTGCTTAATTTTTAAGCTCTCAAAAGCACTTGAATGCTAAACATGATAAGTGGGTCAAATTCATGCAAGAATTCACTTTTGAAGTATCGAGCTAGAGTTGAGAACAAGATAGCTAATACCTTGAGTAGGAGAATCCATATTTTGAATACATTGACTGTTAGTACTAGAGAATTTGAGAGACTGAAAGATGATTACACCTCTTGTCCTAACTTTGATTGACAAGTTAATGATAGTCACCATTGTGAACATGTAAACTTCTTAGTCCTAGATGGGTACATATTTCAAGGCTTTATACTGTGTATCCCTTGTACTATAGTGTGTGATTTTCTCATCTAGGAATTACATGCTAGAGGGTTAGCTAGATATTTTAGTATCAAAAAAACCATAGCCTTAGTAGAGGATAGATTTTATTGGCCCTCCCTCGAGTGAGATATTACTAGGATCATAGCTCAGTGTCGCACATACCATACATCTAAAGTAAAGAAAAGAAATACGGGGTGGTATATGCTCTTACCAATTCCTAAGGTACCTTGAAAAGATATTAGTATGGACTTTGTATTAGATGAGTCTAAGATAGTCTGAGGGCATGATTCAGTTGTAGTCATTATTGACTGATTCTTAAAAATAGCTCACTTCGTAACATGCAATAAGACCACCAATGCCTCCTATCTTGCTAAGCTATTTTTTTGGGAGATTGTTTGTCTTCACAGTTACCCACTTCTATTGTTTCAAATAGAGATGTCAAATTTGTTAGTTATTTCTATAAGACCCTTTGAACGCTCTTCAACACCCAATTAAGGTTCTCCTATGCCTTTCATATTTAAATTGATGGTCAAATTGAGGTCACAATTATAGTTTAGGTGATCTACTTAAGAGTCTAGTTGGTGATAAACCAAGAAATTGAGATTCGGTATTGTCGGTCACATAATTTGCCTATAATAATTTGTTTAATTAGTCTACTGGTAAACGTCCATTTCTAATTGTTCAAGAGTACAACCCCAAATAGCTTATTGACCTCTTACCTATTCCTTTTATGACCTGTACATTTGAATTAGCCAAAGCTTTTGCCCATCGCCTTCACAACCTTCATGTTGAGATTAGGTATAAGTTAACAATAAGTAATGATACATATAATTTAGTTGCCAATGCACATTTTTGTTCCCAAGAATTTGATGTTGGAGACTACATTATGGCTTGCATGCATCTAAAGCGCTTCCTGAGAAATTAGCTCAAGCAGTTACATGCTCATGCTTTTAACCCTTTTCTATTGCCAAAAAATTAGGGTCTAATGCTTATTTGTTAAATTTACATCAAAAAAATGTCTATCAGTGCAGTGTTTAATGTTGAGGATCTTATTCTTTATCAAAATACTTTTGAGCCACCTCTTTTCTCTTTGATGATTCTATAGCCACAAGCCCCTACCATGCCCTAGTTCCACTATTACTTGTTGTTACGTCGCCTATTGACACCATTGATGTTGTCAAGGATAAGTAGATGATTGTAACTCAAGCAAGTCCTATCCAATGATGTCTTGTCTGCTAAAAGGATCATTCTAATTTAGACGCCATGTAAATCATTATAGAGGAGTTTTGCAATATTGACCCTAGTTTGTTCAACAATTACTAACTATTTACCTCTCTGATGGAGAGTTCTTTCAAGTGGTGGGAATGATAGAAATCATATTTAATTTGATTTAGGGTTTATTGTACAAGATTCATCATCTAGGATTTAGTTTATTCAATTTAGCATTTAGATTTTATTCCTTTTAAATAAAATAAGATATCTAGGTAAATCTAGATTATCCTTGTTATCTTCTAACTATTATCAAATAAAATATGATATCTAGACTAGTTAGATATCTTATCATATTCTATTGATTTTAGGTAGATTTGCATTATTTTTTATTATTTTTATTAAATTTTAGAACTCTATAAATAAAGCTAAGGTTCCTTTTATAAATAGTTTTATCATTTGAATATAATTATGCAATTTTCTCCTCTTCCTCCCTTCTCCCTTCTCTCTTCTCTCTCTTTCCCTCTCTTCTTTCTTATTTCACATCACAATGTTTCAACGCTTGATGATTTTTTTAAAAATAAAAAAATGTGAACCAACCAAGCCAATAAACCAGTCAATTTTTCTTGTTCAATTCTCCTACAGTATTGCAGCAGTTTGGACCAGTGACCAATCACCGATCAAACTAGTTGGACCAGCTAATTTGATTTGGTTTTTATTGGAAATTTGGAAACCAAATTCAGCTTTTATATATTTACAAGGGTTAAGGGTCAATTTTGCCCCTGAAGTATACACGAATGGTCATAAATGACCCTAAACTTATGGGCCATTTATAACTTTCAACCTTAAATATTTTTTGTTCTGTTATCCTGTTGTGTTTTTTCATTTTTTTGTTAGTATGCCTACATTCAAATATTTTTTATATTCTATTATAAATATTATTTAATGGGTCCCACTATTTTTTTAATATTTTTTAATAATAAAAAATGCTATCTCTCTATCCTCTTTGTCTCCTTCTCCCTCCCTCCCTCTCACTTTTTCTCATCTTTCATTGCCTTTACACAAGGGTTATCCCCTTAAGCTTATTATTGGAAGCTCGACTAAAGATAGCAAGAGGATTAGCACGACACATAGCTTTCATACACAACAAGAAACATGTCTATGGAAATATTAAACCCTCCAACATCTTCTTCATCTTTGACATGGAACCCATCATCATCGACTTTAGCCTCGACTGCCTCCTTTGCAACTCCATCAACTTCTACCTTAGAGCTAATTGTTTGTCTCGCCAGATAGCCAGCTAAACCTAACAACCTTGTTGCTTCGCATCCTTGCTCCTTTCCTTCTCTCCTTCCCCATCTCTCTCTCTCATCGTCCCTCTCCTTCTATGATTTCTCCACCTCTTCCTTCCTTCATTCACTTTTACCAGCTTTATCATTGAATTCATGTCCATAGTGCACCGTCATCTTTACTCACACAACCATCTCATTCATCTCACCACTGTGCTTCACTTTCCCTGTTGTGCCATTCTCATTTTCACTGTGATAAGGTTGGGAGGCAAAAAACAAGAGAGCTTGATGGCATTGCTTTACCCTACTCCACCAACCCTTATCATTTGTTGGAAGCTCTGCACAATCACTTTCTCTCTCCTCCATTCACCTTTTCTCTCCTACACTCCTTACTAAACCAGTTCTCTCTCTCTCTCTCTCTCTCTCTCTCTCGCGTTTGTGGCACACTCTCCTCGTTCGCATACACACTTTGATTTGCATTTGCTTTTGTGGCACACACTCCAGTTCCCTCTCCTTACTCACATACTCTATACATGGGGCGAAGAATGTGATCCTGCATGGGTGACGATAGAGATGCTAGTGGCAAGGTATAGGAGATTCGGGAAGGCAAATATGATAGCAGAGGAGGTAAGGGAGGTGGTAGGTAGAGGGGGAGTTGAATGAGGCCACAAGGGAGAGATAGAGGGAGAGGAGGGGGGAGAGACGAATAGTGTGAGACTGTGAGACAATAAGATGCCACGAGCTGTAGATTTGAGAGGAAGAGGAGAGAGAGGGGATAAAAACATAAAGAAAAAAAAAACAATGTGAGACTTATAAGTAATATTTTATAATAAAAAATATTTAAAAAATTCTCAATTGAGCCCTCTTAACAGAAACATTGAAGGGAGAAACAGCAAGGTGATAAAAAAAATCTTTAAGATTAAGAGATATAAATAATTTATATTTAAATTTAAATTTATTTGTGTGACTTTTTTTGTATATTTTAAAGATAAAATTGGCTTTTAATCCCATTTACAATTACAATTCTTGCACCTGTTTTCGGGCGCAAATTAAAAGATGATGGTCCGAAACACCCGCCATCTGGCGGGAAAACAATTCATCTTGACAATGCTTTTCCCGCTCCTCTTCGAATCATTTTAAGGACCCGTCATTTACGATTTTGATCAGTTCCGGATCCGTCCATCGTTTCCACACTCCGATTCCATTCATTAGCCGCACATGCCGACCATTGCCGGGCGTAAGCTCGCCAAGGAAGCTCTCTCTGAGACAATGGCCATCGTGTCGGACAGGATAGCTTCTGATGCCCGATCTGACGCTAACTCCACTCCTTGCAAGAGGAAATTGAGATCTGCTGGGCCGCTGATTATGGACAGTCCGGTCTCTTCGCCGACCAAATGGAAATCGCCTCGCCGATGTAGCAGTGAACGCCCAAATCGTGCTTTAACTGTAAGTGAGAACTGAAATTGAGTCTGTAATTCGGATGTTTGCTCTAAATAAGTTGGTTGCTTGTTCATTATCTGTAGGCGAATGAGATGGTTACCAATGAAGACGAAATCAAATCGCATAAATTGCCGTCAAAGCCACCGCAAGATGGTTTTGCTGATAAACCAAAATGGAACCCCAAAGGTAAGCTACTTTTTTGTTGACTGCTGAGTGGTTCTTTATAATCCAATCGAAGGAACATGCTAGACTGTAAAATGGGAACGAATCTGAGAGAGACATGAAATAGCAGGACTGTAGGAGGTTGCAGGAGTTTCTTTTACCATTTGAAAAAACATGGCAACCACAAGGTCCTGTGTTGGCTTTTCTGGAACGATATAACTCTCCATTTTCCATTTAGATATTTATCACATTGCTGAGAATTGTTGATTTCGCAATATTTATGTATAACTGAAATGAAAAATGCACCTGAAAACATTTAAATGCAAATAGGAAGGATAAGGTTGTTAGTATTACTGTGCTGAAAGTGCGACAATAGTTAGATGCTGCTGATATTTTTATTATCTGCTTAAATGATTTCGAATTATTACTTGTTTGATATCTTTTGTGATACCTGTTTTTATTGATTATCAGACGGTGAGCAAGTACGGACAGTGAAGGAGGCATTGCACGTGTCAACAGCACCATCTAAAATTGTCTGCCGTGAAGACGAGCAGAATATGGTTTTCGAGTTCTGTAAGTCATGCATTGAACATAAGAAGGCCGGCAGCATGTACATATGTGGGTGTCCTGGTACTGGAAAATCGTTATCCATGGAGAAAGTAAAAGAGCTTTTAGTCAATTGGGCTAGACAGGTATACTATTTTAGTTTGATTACAGTCTTTAGTTTGGTGGTATGATTCAGGTGCGATGCCTATGAGCCACTCTAAATCTGTAATTTATCTTTTTACATGTTCTCTTTCTACGTTGCAAGTTTTTTCTTGCTAAATATATAATGTTAATCTATTCCATGCGAAGTGCTTCATACAAGAAATGTCAATTGATATTCCTGGGAGAATTTTGTTTATGAAGACTGACCTCTTTTCACTTAAATGGTCTTCTCGTAATGGTTTTTGTTCTTTACACTAACAACTGCCAACCTGATTTATAGGCAGGCTCCCTCCAGCCTGACGTCTTGTCTGTGAACTGCACATCCTTTTCTAGTACCTCTGACATTTTCAGCAAGGTAAGGATATCAAAGGCAAAGTTTAGTAAATTCAACATGGACGCATTCTGACCTGCCCTTTGTTTTGACAGATACTTGGGTTAAACCAATCACGGGGAAAAAAGACTTTAGCTTCTCCATTACAACAACTCCAGAGCCTGTACTCTCAAAAGTCGTCTAGCCAGAACATGATGTAAGAAAAGTATCCATACCCTAAAAATTGCTGCATATAAGCATTAAAGTTCTCGTGTATTGTGACAGGCACTCATGATTATTTTACGAAGTTGGTTTACTTATTTGGAGTGTCATCCACCATTTAATATATCTTCGTTGCAACAGATTGATAGTGGTCGACGAATTAGATTATCTAATCACCAAAGATAGGGCTGTGCTTCACGATCTCTTCATGCTCACCACTTTCCCATTTTCTAGATGTATATTAATAGGTAAAGTTATTGACTAACTTTGTCATCATTGCTATTGACCTGTAATAGATATTGGGCCATCCAACCTAACTGCTTATTTTTACAGGGATATCAAATGCAATTGACCTTGCTGATCGTTTTCTTCCAAGGTTGAAATCATTGAACTGTAAGTAAATCAATTCCACAAATTTATGCTAAAAGAATTCCCATGACTTTAGATTTCTAAATATGGCGCCTTGACGACCTCACTGATGAAGCCAGCCCTTTTCTATTTTGCTACAGTTTTTTTATTAATTACTATTACATATAAACTTTTTACGTTCGCTATGTTCCAGGCAAGCCTATAATTGTAACATTTCGGGCATACTGTCAAGACCAGATCCTTAGCATTCTGAAAGAAAGGCTAAGGGTAAGATTATTATTGCTGATTTATTGCTATCATAGTCATCTGAACATTGAATAACTAATTTGATCTCCAGAGTTTGCCTCCTTATGACCATTTGGGGCAAAAAATCATCTACTAGTGATATAAGTAGCTGAAGTATACTTTACTCTGAATTGTTGATTATTGTTTGTTAATAGCTGCCTGCTTCTCTGCCAGGAACTTCCTTACACTGTATTCCAACATCAGGCGCTCGAGCTCTGTTCTAGGGTAAGTCTATGCATTGTCTAGGGAAGTTTATATTTGCCGCTTAGTTGACAATTTCATTAATAGTGGTTTTGGCCACATTCTATCCAATAAGAACGAGATCATAGTATATGTGAATAAGCTATGGCCTGGAATGTGCTTTAGGGGTCTTTTGATGCACGATTCAATATTGATATTCAGTTTCATGCGCATGCAAACGCAAGGTCTTCTATGTAATAGCCTCCCTCTAACAGGTCCTATTTCCAAACCGGATAGCCACCCAAAACCATTATTCTTTGTGCAAGATGTTATTTCATAATGCGGTTTGCTGGGTCTGTATAAGAAGACTGTAGGAAAGTTACTTCATAATTCATCTTGAAAGCATAAATAGACGCTAACTGACACTGCATTGCAGAAAGTTGCAGCTGCTTCTGGAGACATGCGAAAAGCTCTTTGTATTTGCAGGTTAGCCATTTTGTAAATAATAATCAACTGATTGTTGTTTAGCTGCTACTATGAGCACAATGAGTCAGTCATTGTAAATGTTAGAACTTAAGTTTGTACATGAGCCAGTTAATTATATTGACTCTTTTATCAATAATGAGTCATCCATTCAGATTTTGCTTTACTATATTTAAACAGTAGTCAATTAGCCCCTTCTTATGGACAACCTATATGTTGCTAATGAGGCCTTGGGGCAACAACTTTCCGAAATTCGGAACCGTGGTGTGCTCTTTGATTTTAAGATTCTTGTTTTTAAATCATTTAAAAATTTAAAATTTTAAAGGGATTTGTCTACAGCTTTTGTTGACCTTAGATTTGAATTTGCATCCTAGATAACATTTCCATTCTAGCAAGAGGTGATTTGACAGTTCATACATGATCTGCTTTGCTAATTAGGTCACTGTGGAAGCCTTCAAAGGAATGTGTGTAATAGTTTATTTGCTTTTCAGGAGTGCAATCGAGGTGCTGGAGGCAGAAATTAGAGAATCTATTGGCCTTTCAGAAATTTCATTGGAAGAGAGAGCTTCCCCTGAACAAAACATAGCTTCTGACCTTGAATTTGATGTTGTAAGTGTTCACAATTTTGCTTTAAATTCGTGGTTCCAACATCTCATTATTTTTGACCAATTAAACGGCAAACTGATGACAGCTAAATGATAATGTAGTATCAGTGTAAAAACTTCCACCGAAAAAAGGACGTATGAATTTTCTCTTGGCATGCATCCCATTTTGACCAATACTTAGTTTTGATTAATCTCTTCCATGTTGTTTATAATGCTGTGTCAAAGTTAACCCAGTTCTTTGTAGAAGACATCGACACTTAATTTAATCTTCGCATCTGTTCTGATTGAGTCATCAATAGTCCAAGATGTAGGCCACTTAGTTAACATTATGAATATTGCTGTTCAAAGAATTTCTCTTCACGTTTTCTTGTCGTTGCAATAAGTTTCATCGTCTAGTCTTTGTCAAATATATGAATTCCTTTGCAAAATATCTGTTAATTCCAATATCAGAAAATTAGAGTTTTTTTCCCTCGCTTTGTAGCTAAAAATTTCATAATGAATTGCAGGTAAGGATTGATCATATGGTTCGTGCCTTGTCCAAGACCTATAGATCTCCTGTGGTGGATACAATACAATCTCTGCCACATCATCAACAGGTATCCTTGAATTAGAACGTGTAAATATTCCTACGTAAAATAAAGGACATGCTATTGTGAGCCTTGGCTTAATATATTTTTTTTCTTCTAAGCTGGAAGGCATCTCATTCAAGTAAATAACGAACTGTGTTCTGCTTTGACCAGGAAAAAAAGAACTGTGTTCTGCAATAGAAAATTATGTAGTAGTTACCATTAGTCCAATTGAATTTCAAAATGACAAGAGAATGAAATGAAAAAAGGCTGATTAACCATGACACTAGTTGAGAGGTTTTGAAGAGGAAAAAGTGACGAAGCATTTTTCAACTTTCTGGCTTCTGCCCTTAACGTGCAATCAAGTGATGTCAAGCCACTGGATTATGTCATGCCAATCACAGCACTAATTTTATTACTATATTACATTTCTCAGTGTTTAAAATGCTGTAGTTAATATTCTTTTCTGGACATTTACTACTTGCAGATTATCCTTTGCTCTTCAATGAAACATTTCCGTGGAGCAAAGAAAGATACAATACTTGGCGAGGTATGCATTATAGATTAATGGAATGGTTTAGTTCCATCATAAATATTTATTTATCTCTATAATTGTAATACCTATGCAGTTGTACAAATCTTACGCGGGCATATGCAAATCATCACTAATTCCTCCGGTTGGAATTCTGGAATTTTCAAATATGTGCGGAGTATTGAATGACCAGGTTTCTATGACAATGTTTATTGTAAATATGTTTCTTTAGACGTAGCAATGTGCCATTGGATATAATTTGGCATTCATAGCATGTTACCAGCTTGGGAAAGAAGAATGATGAATTTGTACATGAAAATCTCAGGGGCTTATTAAACTAGGACCATCAAGGGAGGATAAATTGAAGAGGGTGACACTAAAAATAGATGAAGCTGATATTACCTTTGCATTGCAGGTAGTTTTCAGAGGTTTAAGCCCTTGTATATATAACATTACATTTTTCCGTTAATTTCTATCAGTATTGGTTCCTCAACATTCTAACAAATCTTCATCATTTAATTTTATGACACAGGGGATCCGTTTCTTTAGAAACTTTCTTCAATGATTCTGCTTGGGCTAATGATTGACGGGTTTATTTCAGCTTGATGTTTGAGAATAGATTCTTCCCTTTCCAGATTTTCTTAAGGTTAGAACCTCTTGCTATCGAATGATTTTCACAAATACTGATTTTCCCTAAAAGATATGCTTGCTGCTTGGCTGTTTTCAATTTCTTTAAGTATATAAATTTACTGGGTTAATTTCTGTACGCTCATATGTAAAAGGGGCGCAAACAGGTCAAGCCATAAGCTCATAACTGTAATAGATTACTAGAAATCCTAAAACATGAATATCTGTTATAGGTACAATTTTTCCCGATTTAAAAGGCATTCATAGTATTGACAAAGTATATCAAGTTTTGAATTTCGACCACTTTCAGGCTTTTTTGAATATATTTCACCCTACATCCTAATAGATTTTATTCCTGTGTTCATATGCAGTTGACATCCAGCAAACATGATGGAAAAACAAGTTTTCTATTGTTTGCATTATTTATCGATGGATAAACAATAAAAGCCAAGGTGAATCAACTTGGCAGGAGTTTCCAGTGATGAAGTGAAAACTTCTTTAAATAGAGATCTCCTTAATTTTCACAATGACAACTACAATAGAAGAAACATTGATTACATGTAAGAGAACTTAGTTCCTGTTCATTCCCTTGTCTATTGTATCATAAAAGTATAAAAATATATATTTACTATGTACATTGTTAAGGAGGTAAATCATTGGTTAAGCATTTTTTGGCCAGCAGTATGGGTTAAATATCTTCAAGGAACTTTTCTATCTAATTGGTGATTTATTATACAAACCCGCAGTTTGTGGCTGAAAAAAAGAAGTAATTGCAGTTAGGTGTGAGGCTTGTGGTTTTTCAGAGATCTGGTTTAGCATGCTTGCTAACATTATTGTCTTTTTATTTCTGTTTTTGTATTGTGAGAAAATATGTGAATTATAGCTTTTATAGTTGCAATATCAGTAACTTGAAATTTAAGTCTTTATTAGTTGATATTTTTCTTTTGTTTCTTTATCCTCTTGAAACGTAGCTTGCTTGTTTCACCTTCTGAAATATCAAACTTTTTAACACCTAGCAATTCTTGAGTCCCCTGTTGCAAGTCTGTCACTTGCTACTGATCAATTGGTTGGTTCAGAGATTATTGTGAGAAATTTCCAGTGATGTTACTGCATGTTGGTTATATCGTTTGTAAACACCATATTTTGTCTGGCTCTTATAAGTAAATAAGACAACATCTATAAAACAATAATAAAATTGAACAATAAAAAATAATAATTGTCTAGACCCTAATAAGTAAATAACATAATGTATCTATAAAAATAGTAAAAGCTAATAAATAATAAGCAATAAAATTATCCGAACCCCAATAAAAAAATAACTGTAAATGATAAATAAGTATAATAAAAAACTGTAAAAATATATAAAAAGAAATAAAAATGAATACACAAGATAATGAAAAAGAGGAAAATATTTTATAAAATCAATCTCTATAAAATAATAAGAATAAAAATAAGAAAACGTTTTTATAACAAGAAAATAAGTAAATAAGGAAAATAGGTCTTTGATATGAAAATAAAAAAAAACACAAATATAATCGAATTAGATCATGATGTAATATAATAATGTATGGGCTATAAAGATTTTAATATTTCAGAATAATATAATAATCAGATTATAATATAATCTAATACATAACATTAAGATTTAAAATTTTAAAATAATATAATAATCATGATATAATAAAAGATAATATAACAAATAATACCTAATATTGAAATAATAATAACTAATAATATATAAAAATTGCTGATAATTCTAGAGAAATCCTAAATATAGGTAAAGATCTATATAAAAGAAAGCAAAGCAAAGATAGAATAAAAGAAATAGTTAGAGAGACTTGAGAAAATTGTGAGGGAGAGGATAAAAGATAAAAATTAAAAAAAAATTCATAAAGATAATTCCATCTTCCTTTAAACTTTAGGCATTCATACTTTTACATTGATAAAGTATTTTAGCAAGTGAATTCTTGAAGCATGGGTATTGAACCTTTGAATACTAGCCGAACATAAGATCCTGTACCCTCTCTCTCCTTTAATTGAATGACAATATTTCGTCCTCATGCGATTGAGGAAAGTGTGTGCGTGGAATCGTGAATTCCACTTGTTATCATTTGTGTTCTTTTCCCTCTTTTGTCTTCATGCGTGTGTGAGCCTTGCTCCTTAAGTTTTTCTTTGGTGCCGTTTACTATAAATGAGTGTTGGATTTCAATATGATTTTTGATGAAGTTTTAGATGGAAAATAATTTGGATCCTCTCTGCATATCCTATTGTAATATATATTTAGGAAATCTAGCGGGTATCATGATTACATTTGAAAATATATGATGTGGTAAGGTATTCATGAAAAATTTCAAGATTTAAACCTCAAATTACTATTTATTGATTTTTCATTATTTCTATAAGGATTTTTCTTAATTTGTTTGTTGTGAAAGACTTTCAAAATCTTCGCATGTATTTAAGCTAATTAATTTGTCATACAAGGTGATAAAGTATCACATGAATATCAATAAAAGTTTTTTATATTCTTTTAATTGTGTGACACTTTTGAAGTTCTCACAGACATATAAATCAATTAACTTATCCTATATTATGATAAATTATTGCATATATATAATTTTATTTTATTTATTGTGTGAGACTATCAGAGTCCTCGTTGGTTTGTAAATCAATTAAATTATTTTACACAATGATAAATTATCAAAAGTATATATTTTAAAGTATTTAAAAATAAAAGATTTTCTTAAAAATAAATAAAATAAAATAAATCATATTTAGAAGATGGATTGTGAGATACATGAAATTTTCATAGATTTTATCACAATATTTTCTCAAAATTGTTTCTCAGAATTTTGTTACAAATAAAAAAATTTCATAAATAAAAACTACAAACCCAAATAAAATTATTTTCTAAAAAATTTAATAATTAATATTTCCCTTAAAAAAGAAAAGAAAGAGCAAAGCAAAAAGCAGACAAAAAAGAAAAAGAAAAAAAATGAAAAGAAAGGCACAATGTTGACAGAAAAATAGAGATATAGCAAGAAAAGAAGGCAAAAAAAAAAAAGGAAAAGAATGGAACAAGAGAAAAAAAAAAAAAGAGAACAAGGAGGTTGTCTAGCTTACAAAATATCTTGTTATCCAAGTATTAAAGAATTTCACCTCTTGAACTTCAAATATGCCTTGCATCCTAAGTTAAATTTTGAAAGGCATCATTATAACCTAGCCCCTTGAATTATCACATACATTTCGAGCCTTCCTTTTTTATCATGACATTACAACCTTAGAGAAGACTTTATGATTCATTTTGCAAATGCTACTAGGTGGTGGCGATAGTAGAAAAGTTATAAGTCATATGATAGAGTGTTTTGCTAAGTGGACTTGAGGGAATTATAAACCCTAAATATTTTGTAAGTTGAGCACATACACTTTACTTTTATGTGGTTTTTCATTACAATGGACTCTTGATAAGGTTTTGAATTATAAGTGCAAAACCTTTGTTCTTTAGCCTTTAACTTAAGAGTTAAGACATAATGGTTTATTGACTTTTAATTTGGCAATTTTGACCTTTGTTTTCTTTCAATTTATTTTTCACAAATAAATGAATGAGTGCCATTTTGTATATGTTGGTCACATTTCATCCGACAATACTACACAAAGGTATGCAACTTCACAAAACACATACAAGTATATATCTTGAATAGTTATCTACCCCGTCAAAGCAATATTACGCAGGCTCCTCAAAGTCCAAATTTGTTAGCTCCCTATCAAAGTCCTACTATACAGGCCGCTTCAACAAATATGGATCTATCATTTGGTTCATCTGGCTGTGGCAATTTGACTTTCCTTTCAACACTTTCTGTATCAATGTCCTTGTCACTGTCTTCTATTGATTTGGATGAAACTTAGCTTCATTTTCATTTGATTCATGTGCAATAGCTTCCCTCTTACTCACTGAATCGGATTTGCAGTTGCTAGTCTTACAACTTGTAAGAAGTTCAATTTATATCATAGACAATATCTCATCACTAATATGTTACTGTAATGCCTAACCTTCATTGCTGTGAAATTAGGGTTTCTTGGTGGATGTACATGATTTGCTGACAGGGACGGACCCATTTTAAGGCTTGCGGGGCAATTGCCCCCACAAGCCAAGAAAATATTGCATAATAAGATCCCAAAATTTTTATATGCTCTCATTAAAAAATTTCATTTATTCCCATCATTTCAAAAAATTCACTTGCCCCCTTAGAAAAATTCACTTCTCCCATATAAAAATTTATGATGTAAAGGACTAAAAAATTTACCCCCTCAAAAAGTACTTTTTTATTTTATTATATGTTTTTTATTTTATGCATTCTTTTTGGCATTTAATTTTATTATGTTATATCCTTAATAAAAATCAATAAATATTTAAAATTATTTTTTATATAAAATATTAATATTTATTTTAAATATAAATTATGCCCCCACCAATTTATTTTTCTGGATCTGTCATTTTTTGCTAATAATCATAACAACGAGAGAACATATTGGATTCTTTTCTCAGTTGTTTCCATTGCTTTTGTTTTTAGTGTTCATAACCATCGATGATTAGCCTTTCCAGTATCTAAATGTTATAGATGATAATATACATGTCCTTTTGAAGCATTTACGTTATATCTGTTTCTGCAAAATTACCTTGAATATATTTGCTGGTTTCAATGTGATTTTAGTTACAATTTGACATGTTTAAATATCTGTTCATAAGAAGATATACAAAAATGCAAAGTAAAGGAGAATTTACTGAGAGATCTTTCTAGATTTCTTCTTGACTAGTTCAATAGTTGATATGCCAATGATTTTTTTGCTTGCTTAGCATTGAAAGTGAAGAAACAATAATTTGCTTCAAGAATTCAAACCTGAGAATTAGTGGCTTCAAGAATTATGTGGTTAAATATCCACTTACATAATGCTGCATATTGTGAGGCATGTCTTCAGGAGGAAGTTCAACATGTTTCATAGTTGACATAATAAAATTCTCAGGTTGAATTACTTGTCTAGGTTCTTCAGAATGTTCTGTTTCACTTGACTTGCCACTTTCTCTCTCTGATTTGGATGAGACAACAGCTTCGTTCTCCTTCAAATCATCTTGTTTCAATTCAAAGTTGTTAGAAGGTCTTGAATCCACTGGTTTAGCACCCATACATGGTTTTGCAGCTGATTCTTGGTTCATTGACGTTTGGCATTCAACTTCTTTCTCTTTATTCAATGGCACCTGTTCAATTAATGCAAGTGCATCAGCTAAATTTCATTGCTTTGGAGTTCATGGATACCAAAAGTGGCTGTGAAAATGGTTGATGACTATAATTACTATACAAGGGGATTAAAAATTTTTAATGAATGAATTTTTAAAAGAAAAGGCTAACAATGCAGTAGGTAGAAAGGGTTATGAACATGAAGTTTTTTAGGACATACATGTAATTCATGACCAAGGTCTAGTTGAGGGGGATGCACCCCCTTAATGTGAGATTTAATGTTTTACACAATTACACATTATATTTTTGTATTTTACACTTTTATCTTTAATTAATTACTTGAGATCACTCAAGTCTTGACCAAATATCTAAATATATTAATTAAAATTTTCCCAAATCCATAATAATTTAGCTTAAGCATAATAAATTCAAACCCAAAACATTAAACCCACTACACAAGACAACCTTTAAAAAAATCATTATTTAACTTTTAATTACAAAAAAACAAATCCAAATTTTTCACAATGATTTTTTTAATTATTTACTTTTTCTTTCTTTCTCAACAATATAATTTTATGACATGAAATTACAAAATATTAAATTTTTAGTGAGAGAGCACAATGATATCATATAATTCATGTAACCGACCCCATCTAGTAGGATAAGGTTTGTTGTTGTTGTATTAAATTTTTAGTGAAATATTTTTCACCTCCATTCTTGTAATGTATATAATTATTTTTCAATTATTACATTTTTATTTTTTATAATATTAATATTTTTATTTTAAATTAAACTGCACCCCTTCAGCTGAGATCTAACCCCACCATTGTCAAGGACATTACACTAAAAGACCCCTGAGCTAGAGTCCTAGATTCATAGATATCAAAAGCGGCTGTGGAATTGTTAATAACTATAATTACTATAAAAAGGGGATAAAAATTTTAATGAATGAATTTTTAAAATAAAAGGCTAACAATGTAGCAGGCAGAAGGGTTATGAACATGAAGTCCTGTTTTAGGACATATTTGGACATTACACTAAAATACATTTTTATAATTTTTCCTAACTAATTCGGTCAATGATATTTTATTCTCTCAATACTGTAAAAGAAAAGGGAAAGGAAAATTGATGGGAATCAAGTGCTCTTAAGATCCAGAAAATATAGCACAATTGTCACTTGCACCAAAATGGTTTAGGCCGCTATCAAGCCGCTCAACCATATATTTATATAGTTGTGATTAATCTATGTACTCAATGTGGGACTATCATACATTTAATATAGAATACAGATCACTAACCTTTTCTTCAGTGGGAATGTTTGCACTACTTGTTCCAGCTGCTAGTTTTGTTAAATCAATGGCTTCCTTTTCTGCCAAATAAAGAGAATTATCTTGACCAACTTTCATGACTTCAACATCTGATTTAGCGTCATCAGCATGATTTGTCTAGTAAATGAAAGTTTTATTTTCAGTTAATAATCAGCATGTTTTGGGGTATGCACATAATAAAGAGAGGTTTTAAAGGTTAAAATAGACATTCCAAGGTGGACCCAATCTATTAAAGATTGCATATTCACATGTTTCTTCATCATTATCGGTATTTGCACATGATTGATTTATAATCTTTAGCTTGAGAGGAAGTGTGAAATTTCTGATATTCTATTTTACTTTTACTAGTTAGTCGATGATATCATGTGGATTTTCAGGAGTTATAAACCTATTAATAGATGTTCCTATTGTTTGCAAATGCATGCAATACCACACATCTTTTCATAGCTTTCTGCATATTGTTCTTATCTCTTCCACAATATTCTAACCTGAGAATCACGGAAGTCACCATTAGATTGTGGAACTTGTGTATGTTTCTGTTGATCAGAAGCATGTAAAGAAACTTCATCTGTGGGATTCTTCTTTGGTAATACAGATCTTGGTGAGAAGGACAAATTTGAATGAACAGAGATGTCAGCAATTGATTTTTGATGCAGAGTTGATATACCACAATCTCTATTGCTCATTTTGTCATGTGTGTGATCTTTGTCAACTCTTGCTGAATCATTCATGTCTCTAACTTCTTCTGCCTCCTCTGTGTAATTCTCATAAAGGTTACACCATTCCTGTTAAAAAGAAAAAGGAAAAGAAAAGGACATTCTTATCATCTTTTATACCTTCTATTCAAAGCTGATATCTGACGTCTTTTATTGCTTCACCTAATACTTGAAAGCTGAATTACATAGAAGAAGCAAATTTATTTACCTCTAATCTTTCTGAGTTTGCTTGGGAAGATGGAACATCTAAAGAGTTCCAATGCTGAGCTGTTTCGTTTTGCGTCACGGTTTCTCTTATTTCACCAAAAAGGTTCTGATCATAACTTACTGCACAAGTTGGCGTGTCTCCTGGTAACTCACATGTCGATGACACTGAACTCACATCAGCTGAATTTTCTTCATCTATCTCTTGTAAAGGAAATGGTGAATGCACGTCCTTATTGGAGTTAATGTTTGCTTTTGGAGTACCCTCAAAATCACCAATTCCATGTACTTCTCTGACATGGACTGAGTTTCCCCAAATATCTTCACTTCCGGATGAATTGTCTTTCTCATTGTCCCCATCATATACTGAAGATTCTTCATCTGAGCTTAAACTAGAGCCATTAAATGTTTTTGTTGGTGAACCAACTTCTGAAACCTCTACTTGTAAGTCAGAAGCTATGGATTGTGTTTGAGTTCTATGAATTTGCCTCCCAGCATAGAACATGTTTTCAGGGTTCTTCTCAATGGGAGAAGCAAGAGATTTGAACAGAGATTCATTTATAGTAGTGCTTTTAGATATTGGAAATTTCATTAACTTTTCTGGAGTCATTTGGTTAATTGTTGGACCTGGCTTCTCTGAAAGCCCAGCTCTTTGAAAGCTTGAGATATTCTGATCAATTTCTGCAAACCCATTATTCCTATCAGGTTCCTTACAATTGCTTTGTGGTTTGGGAGATTTAAGACTAGTTTCATCACTGTCAAAGATACCAGATTTGGAGAACATTTGCTCAATTAACCTGTCATGGCTTTCCTTTCCCTTATCTGCAACAATAAAGTGTGTCTTAAGTTTCATGAAAATACTACGTTTTTCTCCTTTTTTAGGCCTAAAAGATGTAACTCAAAGCAAGAACACTGACAAACAAGCTGGATTGACCTTTGATTTGAGCAAGAACACATTGGAATATTTTATGAATTGTGCATTTACATTAATTAATTATGAGTTTTAAGTTTGGTTAATTATTGAGCTAACAACATAATGGTTTTTATGATTCTCATTTGGACTGTGATAGATAAATCATACAAGTGAGCTTGTTGGATAGAAACTCAACTCACAACCCTTTAGCAGTCAATTTTATCCCTATCACAAAGCCGATTAAGTCAAGAGATCTTATGGGATAATTTATTAATTAACTTACTATATTTAAGTGAACTAACCCAATCTTCAGCACACTCAACATCCCACAGTCTTTGGTAGACTCATTCTCTCTGTCTTCTTCATGCTCCCAAGATATTTGTTCTCTTTGTAAGCTAAAGGAGTCTAGTGGGTTGTGAATCTGCCCACTCTCGAACAATGGATTTGCAAGTACACTCACTAAACTCAATTCTAATTATTTTATTTAATTATTGAGATATTTGAACAGAACAAGGACAGGGGAGTGGTTGTTACCTGGAAATCTTCTGAATCTTCCTAAACTAAAGCTTTCATGCCCGGAGATTGTCTTGTCCTTCTGGTTCCCTTCAGTGGATTCTTGATGGAAACTAGGTTTCTCCTGAGAAGAATTATAGAGAAAATTAAAAGTTCTTGCTGGTCGAATTATGGATGGCGCAGAATCAGGGATTTCTGTTCTATCAACTTCAAATCTCCTTGAACCTTTAAAACTGCTGCTTCTTGTAATAAGCACAGGAGCAAGATGATGAGTTGGATTCACACCTTTATCCAGCTGCATCTTCAATTCTTTTCTTGCTTTTCTATTAGCAATGAGACTCTCCATCCTAAATTTTCTCTCTAACTCTGATAAAACCAGATCCATGGACTCTTTCTTACCATTATTTTGACATCCAACATCTTTAATCCTATCATCATCCTTTGTCCCTTCATTCTCATCTTCTCTAATTCCTTCCATCAAGCCATAATGAACCAAATCACTCAATGAAGGTTCAGAGCGCAAGGTTTGTCGATTAGGACTTGCAGATTTCTTGGCAGGCAAGTCACCATTATCAGAAGAACTATCTCTTAATCTCTCAAGAGCGCTAGCTCCTTTGCTCTCCGTGTTTATCTCTGAAACAGCATTGTTACCACCATGCAATCCCCATTTCTTGTCTCTGGAACTTCTTCTTCTACTTGTGTTATAATGTGAGGAATAGGTATAGTATCTGTCAAGAACAAAGTCACTTCTGCAATACTTTCCGGCAAGCCTCGAATGCTTGAAGTCACTCCTTCTCTTCTCTCTTTTGACATATCTCAGCTGGGGTTGCTCAGAACTCCAGAAGATTCTGATGAAAATGACAGTGACTAGAATAAATGGGGACAAGTAAACCAGGAAGCTGTAAATGTAAGAGAGGAATATGTAGAGGATGAAGGAGACTGAGAAAAAACCAGAAACAACTGGATGCCTTTGAACAAATGTGGAGCTTTTGTCGTAAAAAGCCAGAAGCATTTTGCACACGCGAAGTGATATTTCTTTTGCATTCAAACCCATGTTTGATTATTTCTCTCTCTAAATGTGAAAAGTCATGCCTAAATTGGTCATATATGATTGAAAACTCAACAATCTAGCCGTTATCTGATTGAAAACAAGGAACTATGATCATATGTGCGTGTTACAAGTTATCATCCCCATTGGTGATATCAGGGAAAAAAATTGATTTCTTGCCATAGGAGGCCATTGAAATGCAGAGTAATGCAGCTTTTTTGTGGGTTATCTTTCAGGGTTCTTGGGATTTTCCAGGAAGATGAAAAGCTTTACAAGGAATCGAGAGAGAGAGAGAGAGAGAGAGAGAGATGAAATCAGATTTCCCCAAATTTTGGTGACTAGCAAGAAGGAGAAAAATAAAATAAAATAAAGCGGTTTGATCTTTTCCTCAACAAACGGCTAGCCATTGAACAATGTCAGTTCATCTTTTTTTGGAAACTTTTGCTTGGCTAACAGTTTTATATGATCCTCTAATTCAGGAGTTTTTACCATGCATTTATCTACCAGTAGTAATTAACTGAATAAAAGGGGATTACATATAAGATAAGATAGTCAATATGCCCTGTCTCAAGTACAAGATGTAACAAGTTATATATATATATATATATATATATTTGGCCTGAAAAATGTGATAAGTTATATGAGTAGATATAGTTATGCAATAAAATCGTATTTCAATTTTTTAACCAAAAAAAATTGTATTTCAATGCGTTCTTGTTATTTCCAAAAATCTATTTACTTTAAATTTTCAATATATATATATATATATATTCATAACAATCATGCTCATGCTCTCTTTGTGTACTCAATTTACAATAATGTCTCAATTTATAACTAAAGTGATGGATTATGGCAAGGGAAAAAAAAACGTAATAACACTATGGTTTTGAATAAAATTAAAAATATTTGTCACATTAGTATTGTGTTTACTTGTAAGATTTTAAAATTTGACTTTAAATTTACATTCACAACGTCTCAAAATGCAGTTTCTTAACTAATTATTGACTCATTTATTCTCACAATATTTGTGTTAATTAGATTTAAATGAAAAAATTAGATAATTTAATATTTACATTTCTTGAAACATTATATATTTTTTCTAGTTCAACATATAAGCAATTTTGTTTTTTTTTAAAAATCATATATAGACTCCTGATCATTAATAAGAAGGGAAAATTACCCACAAATCTCCCACAATAAATCTAAATACCACAAGATCTCTATTAATATTTAATACTTTTAACAAAGAAGAATAATAACATTTTGCTTTACTAAACTATCAATAATTTTGGTGGTATTTAAATGTGTTGGGTAATATATTCTTCTTATAAAAGAACTATCATCATGACTCATCACCTTATTTAAATAACATGATTACACCAACTAATGATAGACCGACATCATTACGCCCTTAACATACTTCATCATAAAAAGAACTTTCTTTTTCCCAATGTGTCTTTGTTTTATAAATGAAATGAAAAAATGAAAATTATTCTCTGGTTAATATCTTTTTATGTTTATAATTAATTAAAAATAATCGTTTTTAGACAACAAAAATAATAATAATAATAGTAATAATAATATGATGATGACCACGACGATGACAATGACGATGACGTATCTAATTTTGTTTGGGAAAAAAAAGATTTGGGAAATTACTTTACCAAAAAAAAAAAAAAAAAGGATTTGGAAACTTTGCACGCCCAAGATTTTCAGCCTCATATACTGTCTGAAAATTTGGGCATTTTCATTGCTAGTCGACCATTCAGTGGGTTGAGTTATTCTCTTATTTAACGGCATCATTTTCCCGAATTTGTTCCCCACTGGGTTTTCTTGGTTCTTTGCGAAATGGCTGGAGATTGAGTTTATTTGAACTTTTTTCCTCTGGCAACTTGAAATTATCTTATCTATCAATCTATCCAATTGAGGTTCCCTTTTTTTTTTTTCTTCAGTTCCACCCGGATTCTTCATTACGTCTTTAACTCTGATGCTGTATAAAATGGAAAATTTAACTTTGCCTAGCTCTTATACTTTCGAACCCATGTTATATGGTTCTTGAGTTTTCCCATTATTATCAGAATGCTGGAGAGGTTTTATTTGTTGTTTAGTTTTGCTAGGGTTCTTTATTGCGTCTTTAATTTTGATGATGTAGGAGTATGAAATGGAAAATTGAACTTTGCAGAGCTCTTGCACAATTTCGAAGCCAAGTTGGGTGTTTCTTGACTTTCCCATGATTATCAGAATGCTGTAGCCGAACGCTATCTCTTCCTGAGTTCATTACCATCGTTTACATATTCCTACAAATCTTTGTTCTTTTGGTGGACTAGAAGTAATTTGTACGTATCCATTATGTTTTCCTTTATATATACTTGTATAGCGACGTATTTTGCTTTATTTTAAAGGATAATGTATCCTTTCAATAACTTAAATATTCTCTTTCAACATATCTTCTGCAGGTTCCAGTTTTTGAAGGTTATATATAGATCCTTGCAATTCTTCCTTTCAAGTTTCTTGATTTCTGTGACAATTGTATAGTGGATACTGGAGATGGCAAGCGAAGATTCCCAAGTATATCATGAAACTCAAAGGCTGCAGTATTGCCTATTACATTGTCTGAACAATCTCTTTCAGGTGCCTATTTCGTAATCCCTTTGTCTTTCATACGTATAGTAACTCTTTTAACTTCGTTACTTGTTTCACGAGAAACGGCTGCAATCAAATCAAACTTTACCTTTATTCTTGAATTTCAAATGGGTAGAAGTTTATCAGAAACTCTTCGCTTTGTGCCCCTTAGAAGATAATATAATTCGGTTTGTTAAAGATTTCTAAGTATCAGCTGGGAAGTAAATTAATTGTTTCTCTTCTATCCAGGAAAAGGATGCCTTTACTCGGGCAGGATTGAATGCCATTTCTGAAAAACTCACGCTTGATGACCCTGAAAGAGCAGACTGGACACCATTATCAGTTGTTTTTAAGCCCCATCATAATGTCTTGACTGGAAACTATGACGTAAATGTTCTGATTGCGGCTCTAGATGAAAGAGGGAAGAGTGTAGTCTGGCATGATCGTCGTAATGGAGCATCCTCTATTGATCTCAATGAACCTGATGGAAGTTTTATGGGGATCGTGCTTAATGTCCCAGTTAAGAGGATTTATGGCATTTGGAAAAGTCGACACTGGGTTGCATTGAGGAGGATTGATGGGGTCTGGTACAACTTGGACAGTGATCTTGCTTCACCAGAAGCTTTCAAAGATACAGATGAAGTTAGGAGTTATTTGGATTCTGTTATTGCTCATGGTGGTGAGGTTTTGCTTGTCATGAATGGGAAACAGTCCTGAAAGCCTTCATTCTTTACTCTTTGGTGGTGTTGCAAGCTTGACTGTCTGTAGATTATGTCCATTTGTGTGCAGTACCAGCCTGATGATGAGTTTTGGAGTATGCAGCTGCACACCTTAAAAAACAAACATCTTTGGCCTGTTGATCACAGGAAATCGTTGTTTAGGCAAATTTATTTGCGAAAGATCTTTCAATAATAAGAAATAGAGGGTGTGCAAAACGGTAGCCCCAGTAAATATTTGACTTCAATTGTCTCAGCTTGAAGCGTTTCCCATTACTGGCAATGTGTTTTGATTGATTTTCTTAGCTGAAGAATAGATTTCAGGGACTTGTGTGATTTCCTAGTCCTAGCTATCATTGTTAATGTACATAGAATGCACAAATTGTGGTTGTTGGTAGTTGAATGAAAATTCTTTCAATAATTCTCTGTAAAGTAGTCAGCATCTTTCCTATTGCAATTTTCTTGCCATGTTACATGTTCATTTTAGGTTATAATCATACAGCTGCCGTTGGGGAATGCATTGAGTTGATGCACAAATCACATTCGCCAACCCACAATCATGAGTCCATGCATCTTGAGTTACTTAGAAGCAGACCAGATGAATGATTAAGGTGTGGTTCTATAATTTAATATATATGTGCTTGTATGTACATACACACTGCCAAAAGTTACGCTGTATTGTATTTAAACCATTTATCTAAGGAAAAAATATAAAATTTACAAGGTCAGAGGCATTGTATTCGGATGTGTCTATTTCATGCTTGTGCTAAGGACTAAGGTTGTTTCATTCAACTTTCTGGACTAGTGAATAATTGAACTGCAGTTCTGTGATTAATTTCTAATTATTTCTAACTAAATATTTTTCTTCATGTATTGTACATAATCTTAAAAATAAATCATACTATTTTTAACGTGTAATTAGTATGGCTTATTTCTGGCCCAAAAAAAAAAAATAGTGTGGCTTATAAAAAAATTGAGGACATGTACCGAATGACTAAGCTTGCAATGTAGTAATATACTCTGCTTCTGTGGAGCTTAAGGTGCAAAAGACATGAACATAGTTTGCACTGTTCATCTTCTCTGTTTGCCCTCTAAATGAACCGCAGCTTTTGCTATTATACATTATCATTTGAACATATTTAACAGAGACCAGTTTGAATTTCAATTTACTGCCTGAAAATAAGACCAAAATCAACATGCAGCAAAAGCAATGAATTTGCTAGATTGACTGTAGCTGGTTGATATCTTTAAAGACAGAGACCAGAGAAGAGTAAACATATAACTTGGGGATCTACAGTGGTCAAATCATTCAAAGCATAATACAGAGAGAGAACAATAATGCATGCATTTGAATTCGGTGCTGCAACTGCAAAGGGTCTTGTCATCATTTCTTGGCAAACAATCCTCCAAAGCCACCGTTCTTCTTTTGGGGCATTGAGACACAGTTTTTCCGGCCACCGTTGGCAGTGCCTCCACTCTTTTCCTCCACCTTCTTGAGTATAGGATCAGTCTCAAGCAGCTGGTCTTCCTTCTGCAAGCCTCCCAAAATCCAATCCAGAAGGTCTTTCTCCTCTTTGCTACCACCCGCACCCTTGGCAGCCGTTGCCGCATAGACTCTTGTGGTGGCCGGAGCAAATGACATGATCAGAGAAGCCATGTTTAATCCTAAGCTTTGAGCCCTAATCTGCACGACACAGCCTTCTTTACTACGGAAGAAAAGCGAATGGTTGGTTTTTGAAGGATGAGGGGGCAAGGCCAGTGATAACATATCACTTGTGGGTGTTTCTTTCAGATGAAGGTGTGGAGGAATGAGGTCTCCACAAGCGTCTTATCTTGATTGCTTGCCTCCAACGTAGGAAGATTTTGTGGGGTGAGGCTGTGAATTTGACGTGTGGCAAATAGAAAACCAGTGGACTATGGCATTAGCCACTAGTGGCCACTTGAAAATGGGCCTTTTGTTAAGGCTTCATTTTTGCTTTTGCAACTTGCAAGCCCCTGTGTATATGTGTAACTATCATATAATAATCAGATTCTGGTCAAGATTGCGCCATGCATCTTTTGTTGTAGCCATCAAATACATGGTATGAAAATCCAGGTAAATGTGTCAAGTTAGACTTTTAAATCAATGTCTTCACCGAACAGCAACTGGATTGAATAGCTAGAAGTACAATAATTTTCAATTAAGTTATAAAGTTCAAGGAAGTTTGAATTTTGTAGATGAAAAAAAATTATATTAAGAGAATTTTTCAGAATTGAAATTAGATTGAATGGTAGACTAATTTGTTTATCTGATTGTTTTTCTTTATGTGAGAACAAATTTCTATTCTTTGTTTTTCCAATTATTTATCTTCTTTTTTTTCACATTTTATCCTTTTGAGTTAGTCTTAATATGGCTCTTAAAAAAAACTTGATTGCAAAGATTTTGAAAATAACTTTAATAGAAACATGAATATCATTAGGAAAATGTGCAAAAATCCCCTTAAGATATGCAAATGACAATAAAACCTTATGAAATGAGATAATTCCTCTTAAGTCTCTTGAGATTTTTCTAACATTAATGTCCTTTGTGAAATGACTATAACATCCTCAATTAAAATAAAAAGAGAAACAATTAAGGTAGAACTTGTTATTTCCTATCTCATTTTAATCATTGTCAAAAGAGAACTAATCATTATTTAAACCAAAGTAGTCATTGATATTTACACACTTGGAATTCAGTAATTAAAAATTTTGCAAAGGAAAAGTTGTAATTACTTATCCCATTTTAGTCACTACTAGAAGAAAAGTAGTCATTGATATTTACAATACTTGAACTTCAATAATTAAAAACAATTATAGAGTGAAACTGTCATTGACTATCAAAGTTTTAGTTATTGCAAAAAAAAAAAAATCATTTTACTTAAACTAAAGTAGTCATTGCATGTTTTTTTTATTTTAAATTAAGGGTATTATGGTCTTTTTACAAATAACATTAATGATAGGAAGGTCTTAAGAAACTTGAGAAGAATTATTATATTTCATGTGATCTTATTGTCATTTGCATATTGCAAGAAGATTTATCTATCATTTTTCCAATATCATTCATCGCCAATATGATATATATATATATAGGAACACTTTTATGAACACTTCTTTTAATTCAAAATATAGGACACTTTTAACTAATTTCACAAGACTTAAGAAAAGTAGTTTTATACCATTAAAATGCTGAAAATACATTGTAAGTTTGTAACTACTCTCCAAGATTATCTTCCAATTAAAATCAATATAATCTATTTTAATTACCTTTAATTTCTTTCTTATATATTCTGTTTTTTTTGGTTGATATACCTCTTATATGTTCTCTCTCTACAAGCAATTAATAAGAGCATTTGTTGAAAAGAAGAATTTAATGCTAATAACTTTTTGCAAGGTGCCTTACATTTTGTACCAACACTAGTTGATAGAAAATATGTAAATGTCTTGTATTTTAAAACAGATGGAGTCATGTTGAAAGTGGTAATTAGGACTCTTGACCTGATTATAAGTAGCATGATACTTAGTCAAAAAAATGAGAGTGACACGTGAAGTAAAATGAGTTGGTTAACACCAAAATCAATGTATTTCCATTTCCCAATCACATTTTCTACAAAACACTAATCCACTTCATCAAGTGCAGAAGTCCAAGCATAGATAAGAAGTGGAAAGTGAGTGATTGGGATTTGGGAAGTGATGGAGAGGAAGTGAGCATAAGAATGAAAGAATGTGTTGGTGGGTTGGACACACAGAGTTTCCAAGTACAAATTGTGTGCAGCCAGCAAATCGTTCTTGGCCTTCCACATGAAGTCTCCGTATTTTCTGTATGCCTCTGCGTCTTTTGCCCCCTCCTCTTTCACCCCCACTGCTCTTTCGAAGTACTCCTCCGCCCTGCTCAATTTCCCCATTTATTCACATCTCCATTTTTATTTGTTCATTGATCCATTTGCGCGCGCGCGCGCGCACACTATCCTCCAATCCAATCTTATTACAAGTTATGAGCATATTCTATTGTAACCAACCAAAAAACTTAAATAATTAATATACAATTTGAATAACTTGAATTATGAACTATTGGTTTCAGGCAAATTTAAACCCTAAATTTTTATTTAGTATATTTTAAATATTAAATAATTAAATTTGGAACAATTTTACTTCTATTGTTAAATTAAAACAAATGTCCATTATCTTTTTAGAAAAAAAAAGGTTTAATGTGCAATTTTTCAAAGAAGGAACTTAAAAGAGAGGGGAATGGTGGAATTTGAGAAAAATTACACGTCAAGCCACATTTTTAAAAAAATAACTACATTTGTTTTAATTTAATGGTGGGAGCGTAATTGTTTCAAATATAATTATTTAGGGTTCAAAATATATTAAACATGAATTTAAAATTTAAATTGCCCCTAAACCAATAGTTTAGGAGTCCAAATTATAAATTAACCCAAACTTAAAATACATTGATTCTATTAATACATTTGTAGACTTGCATTCAATTTTTTTATACACATTTTAAAGTAGGATTTAAAAATTTAAGAGGCTCTTTTATTCATTAAGCTAGTTTTTGGGATGAGTTTTTTCTTTAGAATTATTATGATACTTTCTCTCACTAATATTTAATGTTAGATAAATAGGAAACCTTATGATAAAATATTAATGACTTGATTTATAAATATGATAAAAAATGCTTTCTCTATACTTTATAAATAGAATTTAATGGGGTATACATGCGAGAAAATTATGTACCTAAGTAGAAAAAATTGGGAGAAAGGACAAACACCTGAAGATTTTTGTATATTCTAAAAATCTAACATCCAATATTAAGAAGTCTTCAAGAATTTGAAATGATGATTCTTAAAACTCAATTACATATTTACAATGCAATTTTAAATTTTCAATACTTGATGCTCCGATCTATTTATAACTATAATAAATTTTTAATTAAATTATATATTTAATAAGTTAGTTAATGGCATTTAAAATTATTTTTTTCATATTTATATTTATTTAACATGATCAAAGATGGATCTATGGAGAATAAGGAAGGGTAGTTGCCCCCATATTTTTTACTTTCTTTATATTTAGTTTTATATTTTTTGTACAAATTGTTACTAGGCTCCCATATTTTATATGATCTAAAAATTTGCCCCCCTTACATGAGCTTGGATCCGCGCCTGAACATAATGTTTCAATTTAAAAAATTTATTAATTACATCCCTTGAAAGTATTTTTAAAAAATCTTGTTAATTTTCCTTGCAAAACTTAAAAAATTGATACCTAAAAATGTGATTATTCATCAACATCAGATTAGTACAAGTTTTAAGGCAAAAAAAAAAAAAAAAGTTCAAACTTGAAAGTAATCATCACCTGTCGTAGTCACCAGCAACGAGGTATAGAAACTGTGCACAGTTGGCCACAAGCAAAGGATTGTGAGGATCCTGAGCCAACCCTGACAGATACACAAGTTCTGTGTACAAATACTCTTCGTTATCATCGTCCGGTTCAATTTCAGCCCGGACCGGCGAAACGAACCGCTTCATGGTTTCCATGTCAATGCCGCCGCCTTCTTCGTTGTCCCTGAAACCACCTTCCATCTTCCTTGCTTCTTCTACCATACATCGCCACAGGCTCGCCTCTTCCCTCATTCTTTCCTCTTGCTCTGTCGTCCCTGACCATGATAACTGAGCTCACCGGCGCCGACGCTGTCTTTCTCAGAGAATTGTTTAGATCCAGTGGCATTACTGTTGTAATGAACATCGTAATCGTCGTCGATATTCTCGGAGAATTCTTCACCGGAAAAAGAAAATAATCTGGCGGTGCAGGTTCTCCGTGTAAATTTAGATATGGAAAGCGTGTATTCGCGAGATTGAGACCTTTGAAGCAGACTCGAAGTACGATCCCATTTGCTTGCGAATCGGCACGCAAGAGATCCTCCTCCTCCGCCATTGTTGACGTGGCTTCGTGGTCTGGACAAAGGTTGATGAGGAACTTTCTGCGACCATTGCAGAACTTTTACACTCATTTCTCTCAGCTTTTATGATAAAAGAAATTGAAGGAAAAGAAAATTGTATTGAAGCTCATGAACACAGAAGAGAAAAAGGTGAGAAAATTACTCGATAAACGGAGCAGGAGGAAGAAGAATCGAACTCGTCTGAAACTTGTTACGAAAGATAAACTTTTATAAAGACATGAGACAGAGAAATCTATAATGGATCGTTCTTGTTAACAAACTAACTCTGATTACAACCATAAAACTTTTTGTCTTTCTTCCTTTTTAACTCTTTCCAACCTGTAAATTATAACAAGAAAATAATCAGATAAACAGCTTTAACAAGATTTGGCAAAACAAAAAGGAAAAAGAGACAGTTTATGAGAAGCAATCCAACCGAAATTCCCAGAAAGCACAAGAACAGAAAAGAAAATCTATGCACCATGGAAAGAAATCGTTAGGCAATAATAATGAAGAAAGTTCGAAATACTCCGGTAGGATAGGTAAGAGCATATAAATGGCCTATAGGTACCGGATGTTATAAATTAATATTTCAATTCATATAAATAAATAATATTAAATAAAGTAATATGTGCATACTTAAAAAATTTATAATTGCTTGAAATATATAGCTCGATTATTTCGAGTATAGACAAATACACAACTCATTAGACCCTCATAGTTTTGTAGAGAGTTCAGAGATAATAGAGTAAAATAAAAGCTATTGTATGTTTGTAGTTATTGACTGATCGGTTTATATTGACCACATCAGTAACCACTATACTAAATGAATAAATTAATTATATTCCATTACCTCTGACTTAATCAGTTAAAAGATAGGGAATAACTGATGGCTACAGAGTTGTATACTACTACAAAATTATTGATATATGATATCATTAAAAATGATGATTTTTTTAAAAAATCCATCATTTAAAAGAGAGATGGGTGATGGTTTCATAATAAACGATGAGTGTTTTAAACACTTATCATTTATTTTATTAACATATATGACCTATCATATAAGGCTTCAAATTCTGCCTCTAAAAAATATTAAAAATTAATATCAATATAAATAATGGGTTTTTAAACACCCGCCATTTATATTGATGACATTATATGTCTAAGTTTTTGAAATTTAAAAAAATAAAAAAAATGAGACTTTATATGACGGGCATTTGAAATGTATATCATATAAAGTTTTAACACCCGTCATATAATGTTTAAGTTTCTAAAATTTAAAAAAAAATGAGACTTTATATGACGGGCATTTCAAATGTCCGTCACAGAAAGTTATCACAATATATGACGGGCTTTTGAAATGCTCATCATATAAAGTGGAATAAATGATGACATTTAAATGCTCGTCATTTGTTCTTATTTAAAAACTTTTTAGTTCCTTCCATTTCATATTCTCTCTTACGAGCTCGATAAACTCTCCTCTCTTCTCTTTTCCACTTTCACATGAAATCACAAGCAAACTCACAAAGTGACTTCATTTCTATTGTCGACCATCATCCCCCACCTTCATCATGTTTCCACCATTGTCCTCACTATTGTTCATTGTGCCTGAGCTTGCCATTGCATTTCAACTCATTTTCTTCTAAGGTGCATTTTTTATCGTGTTTTCTACCATTTCTTTCAATGTCCTTTGGCTTTTTTGCTATGCGAATGATTTATTCATTGTTTTGTAAAGTTTTATTGTTTGAATTTATGTAGTTAACTTTCTATACATATTGTTTCTTGATTTTGGTAACATATGTTGTCAAAATTGATGATATATGATGTGTTTTTGGCTTGAGGATGCTAATAGAGGTTATAGGTAGCTTTAGAATAATTATGAGGATGAAAATGAGTGATCGAAATGTATATTCATGATGATTGTATTTTTTTTTAATTTTGAATGAATTTTTTGAATATTTTTAAAATTTTATACCTTATTTAATTTGGATAGTTTTATCATTAGAAACTAAATATTAAAATGTACTAATATACCAAATTTTATTACAATTGGAGTTGATTTGAGTAACCAAAATTAACGCGCAGTTTCTCTAAAAATTATAACTATTTTGTTGAGATTTTGACAATTGCTAGAATGAATGATATTATCTTGGCATGAGATTACTACTATAAGGTATGAGTAACATTATAATGATAAATGTGACAAAAAACAATAACTGGAATTGATATTTATGGTATTTTTCTTTTTTTTTGTGATTTTTCAATGAATTTTTTTTGGAATTGAGTATGTTGTTGAGATTGTGTATGACCTGATGACTAGCTTCACTATTCTTAGCTTTTATGTATGGTAAATTATCTTTCATATGAATAGTTAGTATTTTAAATATATACTAATCCATTTGATATATTGATAGTAGGTGCTTGTATGAAAAATTTATTGTCCCTTTCGGCCTACAAACAAAATTTGTTTTTATTAGTCCTTATGAGGTTGGTGCACACACTTTAATTAAAAAGGACAAAATTTTAGATCAAGCCAAGCAATTAAGTGAAAATTTTAAAGTGGGGACTCAAAAAGGGACATTATTCTTAATACCATATTGCCAAGGGTAACCTACTTCTTACTTATATTAATGGATTTGTTAAGATTAATTTAGTGAATTAGTTATAATTTTATAACACTTGTTAATACTATTAGAGACCATTGGATGTTGATTGCCATTAAACCATATGGTAGCACTCTAAGGATATATTATCTCTATTCTCTTGGTGGGAAATCAAAAATCAAAAAATAGACAAATTTTATTGGAGTTGATTAATATATAAGTGTAAAAAATAAGTATTTCATATATTTGTTTGTTTATTTCTATATTGATATATTTTTTCTCTTTTTTATTAGGAAAATTGTATTGTACCGCACAAACACTAAACAAACAATTCCAAGGTCATTTACAAATTTCGATGCAACCTACACTTGGAATATAATAAAGTTAATTAATATTATTTTTTAATTTAAATATTCATAATTTTTAATGTATTAATATGTGCTCATTGGTTCTTTAATTTGTAGTGCCCAAAACAAATGAAAAATAGCTTGGATTGTAGCTTCTATGTTACAAAATTCATGAAAGACATCATCATCTATAATGAGAGCACAATTATTATGATGGCATGCCAACAATTAATTTTTACTTTATAACTGTTAATGAATTTAATTTATTAAAATAAATTTATGGTGGATAATTTATGTATTACAGTACTATGAGGATTCCTACATTGAAGAATTTGAGCATGCACAAATAAATGAGGTAATTGAAAAGTGATGTCAGTACATATTTCAAGTGTGGTCATTGCATAAAGATGAAAATCAATAAACTTAGCGCAAGTAGGATTAGTGTTTATAGTTTTAATAGTTTTCATTCATTACTTGATATTAGTTGGTAAATTATTTTCCTTTAAAAAATTCTATACATTGATTACCTGATAGATTAGAATAAGAGATTAGTTTTTATTTCATTTTGTATTGATTATAATTTAATTTTAATTGATACTCATGTATGAAAATATTGGAATTGCTGTCTCATTATTATTTGTATAGTTGTTGCAGGGAGACTGCTATAAATAATAGATCTCTATTTAAAAAAAACTATAAAATATATGACGATCAAATATTTTCCCTTCATTTATTGTAACCAAAAAATATATGACAAGTAAATATTTACTTGTCATTTATTATTTGGTTATAATAAATGACAGATATTTTAAACACTTGTGATTTATTCTTACAGAAGACATAGAAAAATATATTTTAAATGACAGGTTATTTAATCATCATTTATACAAAGGAATAAATGATGGGTAAATAACCGTCATTTATTTAGGGAGACTTTAAATGTCCTTTTTTGTAGTAGTGGTAGGTTGGGCCTTTGTTCATTGGGCTCACTTGTATGGTCCACCTATCATGGTCTATACAAAATCATAAAGATCAATCTATTTAGATTTATTAATTAATGTAAATTCATAAATAAATATTCCAATAATTTTTTACTTGGATTGCATTAATTAAGCAAGTTGTACAAACAAGCTACAAACAAAATTTAAAAAATAAAACTTTACAAAATCACTGGATCCTATGGGGAAACAAGTGATATAATGTCTCATAATCTGAATAAAACATGAAATTTTATTTTGAACACAGCTCAGTAAAATAACAATATAAATCACTGATTCCTATAGGGAAATAACTAACATGCATAGTGTACCACAATAAAATTATTAAATCCTATGGGAATATAAATGATATAGATGCATCTAACTAAACTGAACATAACTCACAGAAGAAAACAAGGCCTAAAGAGAAATTACAATACAAAAGTTTCTCAGACTCTCACTAAATTAGGGTATCAAAAGAATTCACAATACCCATGCAAGTTACATGATTTTGAAAAACTTCTACAGGTAAGCCCTTGGTCAATGAATCTGCAAGCATCTATGTTCTAGGAATGTGTATCACATAGGTTTGAGATTCAGCAATTTTTTCTTTTACAAACATAAGTTTGATATCAAAATGTTTTGTACGACTGAAATTTTTGTGGTTATTAGTATAGTATACCACATACTTGTTATTACAATAAATGATTAGAGGACGTGATATTGACTCAACTAAGCGTATGTCAGGTATCAACTTCCTCAGCCATATAACTTGACATGTAGTTTTAAAACAAGCAATATACTCAGCTTCTATAGATGAAACTACTGTAAGTGTTTGCTTTACACTTTTCCAAAAAACAGCTCCTCCAGACAACATGAAAATGTAGTCGATCGTAGACTTATAATGATCCAGACAGGAGCCAAAATCTGAATTTGAAAAGCCAACAATTATAAGATCTTTTAATCTTTTAAAATCATAATCAAAATACGTAACAACTTCAAGAGAATCTGACCTTCTGTAGGTCAACATATAATTCTTTGTACCTTAAAGATACCTCATAACTTTCTTAGTAGCTTTCCAATGATTTGGACCTGGATCATTTAAGTATCGACCTAGCACTCTAATAGCAAAGGCTATATCTAGTCCAGTACACACTTGAACATATATAAGGCTGCCAATAATGGAAGCGTATGACATCTTTCTTATTTTAGCCCTCTTCTTTTCGTCCTTGGGACATTGTAATTATGATAATAGTTCACCTTTCTGAATAGGAGCAGGCGAGGGAGAATATGAATTCATTCTAAATTCCTTAAGTACACACTCAATATAGGTGATCTGTGATAAACCAAGAACACCATGAGATCTATCACGATAAATCTATATCTCAAGAATGAAGGAGGC